ATACACACCACACATATAAAAAATATTTTAATTATTAAAATTACACAAGTATTATTTTATTTATTTTAATTATACACACATTTTAAACACATACACACAAAATAAAATGTGTGCATGCTTAAATTTAAGCTATTTGTAACTATTATTTATTTGATATTTTATTGATATGCACTTTTCCTTTAAAGTTTTTCATAAAAATTATTATTATATTTAACTTATGAATTGTCATATTTCAGCATCATTAGTGTGGTATAATCTTGGGTATTTGTAAAAAGCATGTGTGTGTCTTTATTTTTATTATTATTTTTTTATATATTTATTATTTTATTTTATTATTTTTATTTTATTTTACATTATGTTATTTTAACTTTTTGTTATTTTCTGAAAGCTTTTACACACACATACTTTTTTGCTTATTACATTTTTAACTACACACTCATTCACACACATACATTACGGACAATTTAACCTACCCAATTCACCTATAGCACATGTCTTTGGACTGTGGGGGAAACCGGAGTAAACCGGAGCACCCAAAGGAAACCCACGCAAACACAGCGAGAACATGCAAACTCCACACAGAGATGCCAACTGACCCAGCCGAGGCTCGAACCAGCGACCTTCTTGCTGTGAGGCGATTATATATTTAAATTTTTTAATTTACACAAGTATTATAACATTTTTTTAGATTATTTTAATTATGTATAAATACATATTTTTTGTTTTAGTTACACACACACACACACACACACACACACACACACACACACACACACACACACACACATACTACATATAATAGTAGCTTAAATAGTAACTTATTTTTTAGTAATTGTATTTTTATATAATTATTTTATGTTATTTCTGTAAAATGTGCGCATGCTTAAGTTATTCATTTTATATTTTATTTTATGTGCACTTTTATATTGTTTATAAACACACACACACACTTTATATAATTAAATTTAGCTTTAGATATACACACATTTCTATTTATTTATTATTTATTTTCTCATGAACCGTCATTTTGCAACATCAATGTGGTATAATCTCAGATATTTGTGAGAAGCATGTGTGTGTCTATAAAGTCTTTAAAGTAAAGAGTTTTAAACCCCATATAGGCGTCCCACAGAGAACAGCTGGAAGCCTTCAGACTGTTGATCCAGCGCTGATTCATTTTAAGCAGACTCTGATAGATTGATCAGACTGATTTGTGACCCCGCTGTGCATTTCCTATGTTATTTCCAGCACTGCATGCAACTCAAATATTAATGTTAAAGGGGGCATCCAATACGAAACAAGGGAAAGTATCCTAAAGTGCACCAAAATGACAAGCGTGTGTTATCTCTTTCTGACAGAATGTACCGACGGACCTCCAACATGGTGGGCTTGAGTTATCCTCCCAGTGTGATCACAGCCTTGAAGGTAATACAACGCACCAATAGGATTCTGGGTTGCAGCCTCAAATGCACGAATGCACAAACAGGCACATGCATAACCTGGACACAGCGTGAATGCAAACATGTGAATGCGACACGTTTTGAATGCACAACAGAAACAACGAGGGCTAGATGGCAAAGTCAAACAGGCAAACAGGCCTGTTTAATCAAGCGGAGTGCACAATTGATCTTTCCCTCGGCCAGCTGGGTTACCTGGCACACATACACACATGCACATACGGTTTGGACAGGGCAGAGATGCTTTATTTGGTAGCAGTGGATACAAATAACATAAATATGCAGCTACTCTGAATATAAATGTATTTTAGAATGTTTAAAAAAAAAAAAACACTGCTTTACATTGAATTCCAATGTTAACATGAAAGGTAAAGAAATGCTGTGGGTTTAGTTAGTCAGGTTCACTACTACTGGTATGTATTATTGGTACATTTTTAATTTTAACTACAGTAGATCAAGATTGGGTTCAAGTCCAGGTTTATTTTATTTTATTAATTTTTACTTTATAGATTTTTATTATTGTAAATTATCTTTTTTTTTTTTTTTTTTTATAGATTTTTTACATGCTATTTTATTTTAGTATTCTTTGTTTCATAGATTTTCATTTTATAGATTTTTTTTATTATTATTTATTTTACATTTTATTTTCATTTTATTCTATTTTATAGATTTTTTTATAGATTTTTTCCTTCATTTCATTGGGTTTTATTTTGTAGATTATTATTATTATTATTATTATTATTATTATTATTATCATCATTATTATTATTATTATTATTACTATCATTTTTATTTGTTTTACATTTTTTTTATTTTTTGTAGATTTTTATTTTGTTTTATAGATTTTAACTTTTTAGATTATTATTATTATTATTATTATTATTATTATTATTGTTATTATTGTTATTATTATTTTACATTTCATTTTCATTTTATTTATTTAGATTTTTAGTAGATATTTATTTGATATATTTTTTATTTTATATATTTTATATTATATATTTGTATTATTATTCTTATTAGTATTTTACATTTTATTTTTCCATTACATTTTTTATTTAATTCTTTAGTAGATTTTTATTTGATATATATTTTTATTTGATATATTTTTTGATTATATTTATATCATTGTTAATATTATTATTATTCTGATTATTAATATTATTTATTTTACATTTGATTTTCATATTTTTTTCATTTAGATTGTTTAGTAGATTTATATAGATTTTATAGTTTTTTTATTATTACTATAATTATTATTATTATTTTAAAACTTATTTTCATTTTATTTATTTTGATTTTAGATAGATTTTTATTTATTTGGATTAAATATTTTTTCATTTTATTTTACATTTTTTATTTTAATTGATAGCTTAATTGTATTTTAGTTTTTTATTTTATATAATTTTTAATTCATTGTATAGTAATTGTATTTTATATAAATAGTATTTTCATATTATTTTATTTTTATTTATTTTATTTTAATCACTGGCTTATCATGGCAGGTTTTAATTTATCAAAAAAAAAAAATTCTGAAGATGTGACACTGAAATTAAGTAAGGAGGCTAAAAAATCAGATTTGCATCACAGGAATAAATTACCATGGAACATATGTTTTGCAGGAAAAAAAAATTATGTTTTTCCATCACAAAGTATTGAGCATAAGAGATTTCTTTCAGAAATATTTTTTTTTTACTTTACCACCCCCAAGCTTTTGAATGCTACTGAATTATCCAGAATGCAGGTACAAATGAAAATATTGTGGGTTTTAGTACTTTTCACCACATGAAATTACAGTCCAAATTATACATCCGGCAATCTGCTGTGATTTGATCAGGAATGGCCGTCTCAGAGCTGTTATCAGTCTCATCTGTTCTGCTATCAGCTTCTCATTCATTTTTGATTTAACAATTTGTGGCCGCACGACTCCTTTGTGTCATTGCAGTCGAAGCACTGCAGTCTTTTAAAAATATTATTTTCTTCGGTTGCCTTTTGTGATGATAAAATCCTGGCAGTCTGCATGAAAATTGATTGTCTAAAAATTCTTCCAAATCAGAAGCAGAGTAATATCACACTACTCAAACTAACTCTGGATTATGTAGCATGTACGCAGATTTATATATCCAAGAACACAATACATTGAGTTGTTGTCTTCCAAAAGAAAGAAACAATTTTGAAATGCCTGAAAGATCCATCAGTAATTCCAGCTTTATTTTTTAACACATATCTGCATAATGTCAGTCTAAAGTCTTCATTGGCTGTCAGTGAACAATGTCTGCTTTGAGACTAAAAGACTAATTGAATCTGAGGTCTGGAAGGGTTTGGTTTGTGTTGACGACATGTAAAGAAGATGCTGTTTTCTGTGCAGCAAAACACAAATACACTTTGCATGCACTTTCAGAGAAGGAGGAATCAAGCTGGAAATGAATGACACCGTAAAATTGATGGGGAAATTAATGGAATATAGAATAGAGAGTGATGTTTAATAGGAGATCAGATTAAGTTTTTAAAAAGACAGATTTTTAAATATAGAATTGAATATAGAAAAGGCACTGTTAATGTTCGAAGGTCAGAATTTTTATATAATTACTTATAAAATGTAGGCTTTAAAATCTTTAAATGGTTAAACACTTAATGGTCAAATTGAGCAATTTTACCACTAGGTGAGAGTAAAGCTTACTATAAAGTTAAGTATAACTATAAAGCTGTAGTAAAGCTGACTGTATGTTTAAGTAGTTTTGTGTTCAGTTGATAGACCAACTGACCAATCAGAGCAGAGTAGACTCATGTGACCAATTTATTTAGATTTTCAAGGTAGACCCTTATGTGACCAGTCAGAGCAGAGAAGACCCATGTGACCAATCAAAGCAGAACAGACCCATGTGACCAATCAGAGCAGAGTCGACCCTTGTGGCCAATTAAACCAAGGTAGACTTATTGTGAGCAATCAGAGCAGAGTAGACCCATGTGACTAATTAGGCTGAGTAGAACTATGTGACCAATAAGAGCAGACTAGATTCGTTTAACCAATAATAGCAGAAAAGACCCATGTGACCAATCAGAGCAGAGTAGATTAATCTGACTAATCAGACCAGAATAGATTTATCCGACCAACAACGGGGAGTAGATTCATCTGACCAAGCATTTAGCAGAAATGCTTGGAGCAGAGTAGATCTATGTGACCAATCAGAGCAAGGTAGACTCATATGACCATTTAGAGCAACGTAGACCCACATGACCAATCAGACCAGAGTAGATTCATCTGACTGATCGGAGCAGAGTAGATCCATCTGACCAACCGTAGCAGAGGAGACCCATTTGATCAATCAGAGCAGACCAGAATGTGTCCATCTGACCTATCAGGCCAGATTACAACCATCTGACCAATCAGAGCAAAGTAGACCCATGTGACTTATCAGAGTAGAGCAGATCCATCTGACCTATCAGACCAGAGAACACCCATCTGACCAAACAGAGCAGAGAAGACCCATGTGACCAATAAGAGCAGAGCAGATCCATCTTACCAATCAGATCAAAAAGGATCCATTTGACCAATCAGACTAGAGCAGATCCATCTAACCAATCAGAGCAGAGTAGACCCATGTGACCAATCAGAGCAGACCAGAGTAGATCCATTAGACCTATCAGACCAGAGTACACCCATCTGATCACATCAAAGCAGAGTAGACCCATGTAACCAATTAGTGCAGAGCAGATCCATCTGACCAATCAGACCAATAAAGATCCATTTGACCCATCAGAACAGAGTAGATCCAAATGACCATTCAGAGCAAAATTGGCCCCTATGACCCATCAGAAGAGAGTAGATCCATCTGACCAATCAGAGTAAAGTAGACACATGTGCTCCATCAGATCAGAGTAGATCCATCTGATTAATTAGACCAGAGTAGATCCAAATGACCAATCAGAGCAGAGCAGATCCATCTGACCATCCAGAGAAGGTGGACATATATGACCAATCAGTGTAAAGTTGGTCCATGTGCCTAATCAGTGTGATGTAGACCCATGTGCCCAATCAGTGCGATGTAGACCTACGTGACCAATCAGTGTGATGTAGACCCACGTGATCAATCAGTGCGATGTAGACCTACGTGACCAATCAGTGTGATGTAGACCCACGTGATCAATCAGTGTGAGGTAGACCCATGTGACCAATCAGTGCGAGGTAGACCCATGTGACCAATCAGAGCAGAATAGTCTCTCAGATGCTGATTTGACTGAGACTGGATTCTTCAACAAATTCAAAATCAAGTCTCAAGGATCTGAGAAAAGATCTGGGGCTTAAGTGAACGCTATGAGGAACTCAAGTCATTTTTTTGACCTTGAATTGCTGTAAACCCGTTGCAGGAGACCTTCAAAACAAATTAGAAAGCAATAAAACAGCACCATTTGAATTAGCTTGCCACTGTGCAGGTAATCTAACGCTTTCAACATCCATTTTTTGTAAACACCCAAACTGTTTTAAATTCCAGCTGTCACATTCTGAGGAGCGCAGATGAAAGTCAAATAAACTGAATAAGTCGCTGTGTCGGTGGTTAAGCCTCTAGGCTGGTATCTCAAAGGGTAGAGCTTCAGAATGGAGTTGAGATCTCCTGCAGTCTCTTCTAACTCTTATGCCCTTGAGCGAGTCTATTCTGATTGCTTTATCTGCAGGTTACTGTATAAAGTGTCTATATGTGACTGGGAGAAGCCGTAGAATACTAATACAGATGTTCTTGCCAAACACTAGCCATAATTTGCTGTTTACATCTACTTATTCTAAATAGAAATGTTAATATGCTGAACCTAATGAAGACTTTGGTTTATATTAAGTGTGTTTAATCCACACAAGAACTGTCCCTTTACGTAGGTAGATAGATGTGAAGAGCCGAATGTGTTTTTATGTTTTTGAAGTCTCTTTTGCTCACAGATGCAGGCATGTATTTACTTTAAAACTCTGGAATATAA